GAAAGAAAATTTTATTAAATGCTTTGTAGTTTCGTAACGGAAAAGACGTCTGTACTTGTGCTTGCTCTTTTTTTTTTAGACAGAGAGTATGAAATTCATTCTGAATTCTCATATATCTACATATTGAATTCTTAGATATCAAAGGGATGAAATGCTGCTGAATGGAAAAACATCTTTAAAAATGACATAAATAGTTATTAAAAAATTATCGTAATATATAAGATTAAATTCTTATATTGTATAATAAGCAATAAATTCGCTATTATTTGACAAATTGTTTAGGCGAGGTATATAAATATATAATAAAAAAATAACGATCCGTGTTTTTAGAAGAATTTGATTGTTTATGTCATAATTTAAAATTGTAAATCTTTAATAATTAGTTTTAACTTGGTTTTACAATAACCATTTTATATATGACTTTTTAAAGTCACAATTACATTGTATTCAGACGATGAACGTATTTTGCGATGATTCATTAATATTTAAATCTTATCTAATTAATTTATATACCATTATTTTAGTACCATATTGTCACTGTTTCCCAATCCACATAGTATACTATTTTTGCAACAAATTATTACAATTTTTGTAATCATTTATCCATGCATTAATAAACAGAATAATTGAATCATGTCGGACTAAGATAGTCTAAATTATAGAAATTGTTATAACTTCAAGTTGGTAGTACTTTCCAAATATCGAGACACCATTCTATTCTAAGAAAAAAATTCAAAGTAGATTTTACTTTTTATTGATTCTTTTAAATACTCATTTTATATATCGAATATATAAACTTTACACATCGGATATTATATATGTAGAATTTTTTACACTCCATTTTTTTTTAATAGCATTTAGATTCCAATAATTAAAAAATTCTAATAAATGTAAAACAGTACTTACCTGAATCAGTGCTTTAATTATTTTAATAGATTTTTCAATATATTTACACATCTTTTTACTTACATAAAACTATACCTTACATTTTCAGTTTTCATAATTAATATAAATCAATATGTCGACAAACAAAAGTGCTTATTGCTTAAACTGTAAACGATAGTCAACAAAGTTTTGATTAAAAAATAATATTTTAATACTTTAATGCTAATGAGACTCTCACATGACTAATTTACTCATATTTGATATATATAAATACTTGAAAAAAAAACGTTGTAGATATTTTTTATAAACCATTTTATAGGTCGACTTACGTAGTTTAATATTTCTTAACTTCAGTGGTTTTCGAGGTTCAAAGCTTATAATTGGAAAAAATAAAATTATATTTTTACATTTGAAATTAATTATTGTAATAAGATTAAAATATATAAATATAAATGTGAGTTTATGAATTTCACTTTATATTTTAATTATGTATAACTTTTACGTTTTCAAACTGACACAACTTCTTAACAAAGAAACATTTTAAATGTTCAAGTTGACTTTCTTTTCAATCAAAGTTTTCAAAATTTATAACTATAGTAAATTGATACAAATATTATTAATTAAATATTTATTCACCTACTGACACTATCTAGATTTATGTTATAATTTTTTTTATCTTTGGTTCATTGATATCATCCATATCCAACTGTTTATAGTAAAAGCTGCGTAGCTAACACTAAAAGCTATTTACGAATTAAGCTATACAAGAACCAATATTTATACTTGAAAAGTATTTTCTGCAAATTAATCAATTTTTATTAATATAAGTTTAAAAATCAACTTACTTTTGTCGTTTATACATCTATTCATGTATAATATTCAGAATGGGAGAATTCTCTAAATGCTTTTAATAGTTCCGTGTGAGAGTAAAGCACATCCTTTTTATTAAAAGATATCTTTCTAAAGAGGCGGAGGGAGTTGCTAGTAATATAACTGCGAAATTTTCTTTGTGCCTGTCCAATACCGCAGATTTTTCTATTATAAAAGACTCAAGAGGAGAAATGAATAGAAGAGAAAAGTTTGACCGATCAACTATAGTAAAATAGAAAGATGGATAGTGTGAGAAATAGGGTGAGGATTAATAAACTTCGCGGAGAATTTCCGCGTTCATTTCATGCCAATCGAATTGAATTTCCACTGAAGCTACAAATATATATATATATATATATATTTATATATATATATATACGATCGTGATCCTTTGAGTATGTGTAATGCGAAAGCAGGCAAGCGATCAGTTCTTTGATGTTGCGAATGCATAGTTCCAAAACCGAGTGGAAGAAAATGAGTAATGTAGATAAAATACGTGAAAAACAAGCGTTTGTAATATTTTGTTACATTAAAAGCTGACTGGCTTAAATAACCGATTTGTGAATGACATTGAAGACAATGAAATCAAAGTTATGGTTCAATGATAGATAAAACTTATTTCATTTATTAAAATAAAATTCCATTTCCTTGCCAGTTAGAAATTTTTAATTTTTTAAAATTTATTTCACTTCTAAAATATTGAACATATGGATCATGAACATTTGTTACATTGCTTTATTTTAATTTAATATCGTTAGATATATAAGATTTTTTTTAATTAAAAATTTATTTATTTTTTAAGAACATGTTACTATTTTTCAGAAGAATATATTCGATTTGATTTTGAAAATTTGTAATTTTCTGTTTAGAAGCAACCCGTATTACATAATTTTATGTATTTGTATTAATTCTCTGCTAAAGAATTAATTAAATATTTTATTAAACAAGACGAATGAGTTATATTTAACTTTTTCGACATAATCCAATAGGATATATTAATTTTATCTTTGGTTTTTGCGAGTGAACAAATGAACCCTAATAGTCGAAATGTGTACGACTTGATTCAAAACATGATTCGACTAGAGTAGCACTCAAGCTAATATGTATAAATCGAGAGTGAACCTAATAAGGAACAGTGGAACCAGAGATTATAAATATAGATGGAACGTCAGAACTATGATTGAAGAATATACGCAAAATAAGAAATTTGATCATATTTGAATCACTAAGCGAGGGTTAACCAGTTTTTAGATATAATCATCATTATAATTTCGTTAGCATTTAAATAATTTCGTTACTTTATTATAAATGTTTTCATATTAGTTTTACTTATTCATTAATTTTTGCCCATTTTCCATTTCTTTTCAATATCTTATCTCAAGGATTTTCAATTAATAAAAAGATTTTAAGACGTGAATAGATTTTATGATATAAAAGTATTAATAATCATGGGTTATTATAGAAAATTATGATTATTTAAAATTAAAAATATTATAAAGTTTGAATTAAATAATAATCATTTCCTTATCGATAACATTTGCTACGACGTTTAATATTTTTGAAGATGAAACTTTGGCGAGCTGCTTCTTTCTTTGGTAATCATTCACACTCTTGCCTCTTTGTTACGAAAAGTCATTCCCACAACTCAAACCAATCAAGCGTAACTTTCAAATTCAATATTCAAGAATATCAAGATCGTTGTGTAAAACGCTCTGCTCAGCTTCGCAGATTCATCCAAACAATCAGAGAGGAAAGCACGGTGTTCTCGGAAAACTTATTCCACTCTACGAGTGCGCGCCGGTCTGGCGGAAAAACAACAAATTCCACATACAAAATCTGTCGCTCTAGTGGATGCACATCCAAGTTCTTACTCAAGCGCCAAAACTTTAACAAATCGATCGGAGGGGAACAAGGCAAAATTCATTGAAACTCGTGTCGCGTCCAGCGGCAGTTGACGAACTTTTTCTGAAAGCGAGAAACTTTAGTTCTGACGAGGTGTATTAAGTGAAAGTTTTTCGATACTTTTCTGACTTCACCTCTTTTTCTCTCGCTACTTCTTTCTTTGAACAAGACTCTTCTTTACCAGCACGTCTTACTCAATCGTTGCTCGTGTTTTTGGCACCTTATTTATACGAATACGATACCAACAAGTGTCAATGTGAAAATATTCAATCAACTGATCGTTATCATGGTTATTTATTATTAAAAGTATTAACGACTGGTTTTGAAAAAAGCAACAGTGATTAATAATATTATATTCCTTTAAGTGTTTAAGAATCTTTAATTATAATAATTCATGATAGCTAAAAGTTCAAATAATTATTTTTAAAACTATATTTAACTCTAACGTCCTCTGCATTAATTATCCATAAGTTTTAGAAAGCACTTGGAATTGTAAAACGTTGTCTTAAGTACCTGTATAAGTACCGGCAAGTCGACCGTTAGTTTTACTTAGTAACTGGATAATTAGTAAGTACTTGCAACTAAGTAATTTATAACTTCTCTAACGAAAAAACCACGAATTTATAAATTTTAAATATCCTTTTTAATACACCCATAATTTAATAAATTTATAAAATCTAATTGTATGTATAATTAGTTAGTCATAAAGTTTGATTCTACGTTTTAAATAAGTGAATTCGTTATAAAAACAAAAAAAAACAAAAATGTTTTTATAAATGTTACTTTACATTAACATTAAGGTCTTAAAATTATTATAGCAATTGGTTGATTGATTAATAAATTGATTAGCTTCTGGAGCATAAAGGTTTTACGTAGTATTAGACGTCCAAACATGACTGCACTGGATAAATTTTTGCCTACATTTTAGCAAGAATTAAATATCTAATAAAACGAGCTTTTTATCGCTGGTCCTATTTCAATAGTAACAAAAGCTCAGACATGTAGTAAAATTATAATCCGAGAAACTCAATAATCTAAAGACATAATTATCGAAAGACTATAGTTTATCAATTGCGATGTATAGTTGGGCACTGATTGTGATGTTATTTATTAAAAATTAACTCTTATTTTTAATTAGCTATTAAACATACTATAAGATTTAAAATATAAGATAATAAATTATTACGTTATAAAATGGAATATCAATTAAAGTAAAATTTAACTTTAAGATTTAACTTGCTAATTCCTATTTGTGCTCGACGCTTTTATAATCTCGAATATAATTGTTTCTATTAATACAAGACTTAGCTCAATCTCTAATACCCGTTAATTTTTCCAGGAATCTTAATGCAATATATCTCTGCAACTACAAGTACTAGGGAAAACGTCGTACGCGTGTATGGCGATGAAAATGCATCATCCTTAACTTTGGAGTCCGAAGACGAAGTCCGTGAACGCTATCGCAGACTTATACCTTACATGACGTACTACTTAGTGAACAACTACGTGGGCTTGCAACACCAAATTGCACCGTCCGCTCCAAATTACGCCGATTCAAATAACCAATCGGAGAGTCCGGTCACCCAGAGGCCGGTATTGCAGCATCTCGGTCAAAGGCCGACTCAACCTAAGTCTAAGTATCCGATCCAAAAGCCAGGACAGGAGAACCGGTTCGTACCGTCCGTGCAGTATGATCCGAAGGAACTCACCCAAGACGCGGACTATTTCGTACCAGTGAATTACGGCGCGAAGGACATCTACGACTATCCAAACGTACCCGCGAGCGGACTACCGCAAACACCTGTGTAAGTATATGCGTTGTAAAATTATATTTATCTTTCTAGATTCGACAATCAATCCTCATCGTGATTATGTATTTCGTGTATTTTCTAAAACAGAAGCTAATTATTTGTTGTTAAAATAAGCACGCAGTAGTACAAATTAATCTAGTTGAATTGAGACATAAATTCGCGTAACTTATCAGTGATATACATTTACTTATAAATAAATAGTTCCATATCATTGAATAAGTTATCGACTGGATTAGTCGCGAATTTTTAGTTTATTAAAAATAGCAATGGATTATCGTGAAAAATTAAGCCCAACAATCAATAGGTATAACTTTAAAGTATTGTTCTTTATGAAAAACTTTAGCGTGTCGAGTACACGATACGAGGCAACCAGCAGACCCGTTAGCACCCTCTTGCAAAAGCAGAAACAGCCACTCGCGAAAGCGCAACACGACTACGTGTACAGAGAGGATTCCGGGAAATTCGAATCCATTCGCTTCGCGTCGCCTTCGCGCTCTACGCTGCGCCAACAGCCTGTGAGATACATCGAGCCTGTGACTTCGAAACCCACGACGGCACTGGAGCCAACGGCACCGCGCGTAAGTCTCAACCACATACTCAAGAGTCTGCAACTGACCAATCAGCTGCCGGAGGTACTCAGCAAAGACAACATCGACAGCAGCATCAAAACTCTTGTCGAGATATTGAACATACTCAACATGGGGAGGAGGGAGAATTATGCACCAAGTACGCTTTATGTTCTCAAAAAAGTGACCCCGGTACTTCGGACATTTACCCAATGACATTTCATTTAGTAATTGTAATGAGACACGTATTATAAAAATATTGAAAAATTTTAAATATTTATTTAGGGGATTAGTTTTTGTGCGAGTTTGCTTGTTCCGTTGGTTTGCAAAAATTTGATATTTTTGGTAAATACTTAACAAAAGTTTATTAGAGTTATGTAATTCATTATTGGCATAATTTCTTTTTTCGTAACTGAATAATTTTATATTTTGCGTTTCTATTATTAACACGAGCAAAAAATGTTTACGTTAATGTCAACTATTTATGAATTTATTTTCGAACGAATATCAAATTTACGATATGCCGTCATCAAATCCGTATGGATAGCTATTATTTAAAAATAAATATATCTTTATCATTACATATTGATTGATTAAATTCACTTATTCACAGTATATGAAAAACCTGCTTATGCAAAACCAAAAGTCATCACGGAATCAAACTACGAAGCAACGCAGATTTTTACGGTTCCCCGCAAGGAATACGTTGAAATAAAAGCTGCAAATCCTTACGTGAATCAATTTAAGACTCAAACGTCCAACGCACACCAAGAATTAGTCGATCGTCAATCGATTAATCGTTATATTGACCAAATTAAATCTCAAACTCCAACTGCATCGGAAGCAAGTGCCAAACCTTCAAGTATACCCGATAAGATTGTTGAATACTATATACCGATAGTTCAAGAAATTAATGAAGACAAAGTAACAGTAAATGCTGGTTAGAATTATCTATTACTTACTTATTTTAATATATTTATAAGAATCATGTTAACTTTTCTAACACATTTCATTAGCGAATACAATAACTAATATTAAAAATTTCAATATATATTATTAATGACAATATCAAATTTATTGGGATTTAAATACTTTACACTTCACAATATTTTATTAAATTAGTATATTTTTCCACTATTATATTGACGATGAAATTTTTTACGATAGAAAATGATAACAAATGTTTTTAAAATTACATTGGTATTTTATTACAACACATTGAAAGTTTGAACATCCATACGATAGAGGTCAACATTAATGGACAATCAAATAATAATATCAATTTAATAAATTTATTAAATATAAAATCCATAAATAAAAATGTCCAGTGTTTTTTATATCTATTTAAAAACATTATGATAGTACTTACTAGATTATTACTAATGATTACATTAATAATCACATTTTATTTCATTTTTTTCATTTTTATAAAGCATTCACTTTTATAATTTTGTGCTTCAAATATGTTATATTATTAAAAATAACAAATTTATTTTCTACAAGATACTTAGTATTCGATATTCATTATTTTCAATGCTAAATATTCTGCATTCATTTGAAAAATATATTTATACTCACTTTTACCCATTGTAAAATAGATAAGGAGCATTCGATAACGCAAAATCCACAACACTCTATTCATAACGATGATATAACTGACAATAATGACGAAATATTGGAAGATGAACAATATAGTTTATTAGAACCTACCGAGGAACAGAAAAAGAAATTATCATCACACATACGAACTATCGCACCATCTCTTAAGTACGGAGCAACTAGAGGAAAACCACACGTTGATTATCCAGCTTATACTGAAATTCCTGAAACAGAATTTAGTTGTAAGCAACAACGTTATAAAGGATTTTTCGGTGATCCTGCTACAGGATGTCAAGTAAGGCCAAATTATCAATAAAATAAACATTAAAATAAATTCATAAAATTAATATCTTATTGATTTTCTAATTATATTATATTATAATTTATCTTAGGTCTGGCATTACTGCGATTTGAATGGTGGAAAATCTTCCTTCCTATGCCCAAATGGTACAATATTCAGTCAAGTAGCTTTGACATGTGATTGGTGGTTCAATGTCAAGTGTGAATCAACCACCCAACTCTATGTACTTAATGAACGACTTTATAAGTACATTTTACCTATCATGCCTAAATTCCCTGAAGATTTCACTGGTCCTGAAGTTGATAAATATCTTGAATTAAAATTTAAGGAAATGGAAGCAAAATTAAAAGAAAAGAAAATGAAAAAAGAGCAAGAAGAGAAAGGGAAAAGCACTGTAAATACTTTACAATCTATAGAAGATTCAAAGTAATTTGTAAATTAAGCCATTTTCACCTTGATTAATAACTTCATCAATCATTATCAAATAAAACAGAAGTGAAATAAAATAATAATTATGTTGATGTAAAGGCACTGAAAAATTACATGAAACTTAATATAACCTGATATTAGTTCATCATATATATAATAAAATTACTCGATATTCATTAAAGAATAAAATATAGTGTGAAAAACAGTGTGATACGTTAAAATAATTTTAATATGATAGCTTCTGTTTCTATAATTTATTATTGCATAGTTGCCATTAGAATGTGCAAAGGCAAAAGAAATTTGATGAAAAATTTATGTTACGACGGGCCGAATAAGGACAAAAAATGTATTCGCACAACAAATGTATATTATTAAGAATTTCTATTATTGCCTCTAGTCATGTTTTTATCTTTATTTATTTAAATAACATTACATATCTTTATCAACAATACTGTTTGTAATAATAAAGTCAAATACTTAGATGATACTATCTTTTATTTGATTTTGTTTCATTAGAAATTAAAATATGTAAAAATTAAATTTAAGCGCTAATGTACCTAATATATAAAATAAAGAAAACTGACATTAAAAAAAAAAATCAAAAATTATCCGAAAATGCATGCAAAAATTATAAATACAAACAAGTATCTAGTTTTTGCTAAGTTGAATATATTTATCTTTATTAGATTTAATTTTATTATAAATTGGTTGAATAAATATATTTATTGATTTTCTATATAAATATATTTTAATAATTAATTCGCTTATAAAATTAACTTCTTTTTACAACTTACTAGTTCATAGAAAAATTTCAATTCAAATTTCAGCAAATCATGGTTCTGTGTAAATATCTAAAATAAAACTAAAAATCAATTAATACTAAAAACATAAAAAAATAATGTATGTGTTGAACAAGAAAAAATATTAAAAAATTTTCAAAACTTATATTGTATTTAGTAAAAAATATACTATATAAATTTGGTAGTTATGTATTGAAAAATATTTACAATACTAATTGTTTTTATAATATTTTAAAGAAATTTCAATTAAGTCTGGTAAAAAATTATTTATAATATAAATAGTATATACCGACTCTAATTATTTAATAACATAATTTTTAACAAAAATTGATTCTAGAATGTGAATAATGCCGAGTATTACCTATATACTTATAAAAATAATCACTACTTTAATTTCTTGATTAGGATAAGTTGCACGATTAATTAGTACTGTGTTAAGAGTAGTTTTTTTTTAGAACTCTAAATCAGCATATTTCTAAGCATCATTTTGAACTGAAAAAAAAAATATATATATATATATACATATAAATTAGTCATTAGAAGTATTTAAAATTTTATAATTTTATATTTACAAATTTTACAAATAATTTATAATATTTTTATTTCAGTTTGAAAATGTTGCTTAGAAATATTCTACTTATATATTCTACATATATATATAACAGAATAATGACAAACAAAATTGATGCACCAGTCCAGTTACTATATTTTATAAGGCAATTATGTTCTTATTGCATTATTTGTATATTGATCAAATTATGATAGATATAATGCATTTAGAAATTAAATTTCAAAGTTAAGCAAATAAAAAGATGACATGGTAATAAATGGATGCCATTATTGACTTTTAAATCTATAATAATATTGAAATAGAATCAAATGCAAAACAAAATTTTTTTACAATTTAAAATAAGAAATAAAACTTGTTCCATTTATTGGTTCTTGACTTTTTTGTTCAAACGATTATACGCATTATATTAGTATATTTCTTGAAATATAAAAATAAAAATATATAAATAAGTGCATATTGATATAAATAATTACAAAATAATATAAAAATTAAATTTATATAGATATATATATATATATATATATATATATATATATATATTTTTTTTTCTATAAAATTTGTAATGATTTAAATTGATAAACAAATCATAATTATTATATAAATAATAAATATAAATAATTAATGTACTAACTATAAATAATAATATAAATAAATAATAATAATTAATTTACACAGTAATATAATAAATTTATCAAGAAAAATAAATTGATAATTAATGTTCATTATAATATAAATATAAACTTATCTCATAAGAAATAATTTAATCATTTAATGAAGTTGTTTAAAAGCTATAAAAATGTAATAATATATTTTCCTATTCGACTTCCTATACGATAGTATCAATAACATTATAAAAAAATTTTAAAACTGATTTCATAATTTTCTCCATAAATAAATGAAGGCACTTTTTTAATAGTATATTGTTATGTAATGTAATATATTATCGTACATTTAAAATGCTTTTTTACTATTTATTTTATAATTAAAAATTATAATATAATTATGAATGATAAAAAATGATCTTTAGATCCCATAAATAATTTCTAGAGTTAAAATAACATATTTTTTAATTAAAATGTTAATGATATTAAGAAATATTTTAAATGATACTAATAAAACTATGTATAAAAAGTAAATTAAAAAAATCATGGTGCATTTTCACCATGATTTAATGTACATAAGCACTGGTTGTAAAAAGTTATGGTACTAAAAATTATAAAAAATTTTTAAAAATATCTATCTCGTCTAGACTGATAGTTCCAACTAAAATACTTGGAAAAATCAATTAAAGAACAAACGTCTTTATCAATAATAGCTTATGCAAAGATGTTTTATTTTAAACAGTAGAAAACTAGATTATATTTTCCTATGAATAATGACATTTGTAAGGAAAGAAAAGGATATCTATTTAGTTTTCGAACAAGTGGCCACATAATTACCACTGACCACGTATCTTTTATCGTACTTCGATATAATTATTTCACTAAGATCAATCGTCTATATTTAGCACACATATATACAGCATATACAGCAAAATATAGCACACACATATATAGCACACCCATAATCAAATATGAACTTCTTATTTTCGAGAGCAACATACGATAAGCATAAGCAATAATAACGCACTGTCAAATAAAATTTTACACTTAACAAGCAAATGCTATTAAAGTATTTTATATACTTCCTCATTTTAAAGTAACTATAACGTCGTCAATGAGACTAGTCACTCACCTAAACAGCTAGTATTTGCCGACAAATAGCCTTTTATAAAAGAGAAAAATAAATATATAAATTTTCGCTAATTAACGTTAAAGAGCACAAGTTGACAATTTGGATCATTAGGCTATCAATATATATCTAATAACTTTTGAAAATATTTTTAAGATTGAAATGATATAGAATTTAATGCTTTAAAGAATTTAATATATAACTACATACTCAATTTTATTATTAGATTTTTTTCTATATAGTGCATATTATACGTAAATTTTTGTTTCTATATATATATTAATTTATATTGCTTTATAAATCTTATTATTATTATTAGTACTTATTATTTAGCATTACAGGAGTTTTATGATTAAATAAAATTAAATGAAATATTTCAAATGAATAAGAAAACATGGGGACCAAAGTATTTATAAGGTTAATTTATATATATATATATATATATATATATATATATATATATATATATATTTATATGCATTTGAAAACCATTTAATTGTAGAATATTATAATTCAAATTCAATTCTTATATTTCATCTTTTGAATATAGATTTTTTTTTTTTAATCTTATTAAACAGGAATTGTTAATTTTCATTATATCCATTTGAGACATACTAAATTTTGTTTTTTTTAATACCTATTATATTTCTGCATTCTGATTTTCATTTATTCTTCCACTTTCTTTGCTTTATTAAATCCTATACTATACTATTAAATTTTTTGCTCCATAACTCTAAAAAAATATCTTTCGCAAGTTCAGTTTGTCCCTACATTTTTCGTTACAAATGAACACCAAATATTATTTTATATTCAAATTGAAATTAATGATACAATATGTTTTAGCATTTTCAAGTCTTTTGCACATTACATATAAGTATAATTCTTTGCGAGGATTAATGATCGATAACCAAAACTGTGTTATTTATATACTTATTACATTTAATTTTATCACTTTATTTTGTTAATGATTGATTTGTCTTGTGAAGGTACATTAAAATATTATTTTAGTAAATTTATTTATGGTCAAAATAGATAATAGACAATTATGAATAATAACTATTAAATAAGTGAATAATAATAAATTCTTTAAAAATACTTTAGTTAATTTTATCATGAAATAATCATTGCGCCAATCATTTTATAATGTCTTAATATATCCCACCCAAACTTCGTTCTAAATTTTGTAATATAAGAACTTTTATTTTTTGTTTTTAAATTAGTCATATGTATAATTCAATAATTCTTAGAACCTTTAAATATTTAATAAATCATATTTTTAATAACGTTGTTTATTTTTAATTAAAAAAAAACAATTTTGTATTTAACATTTTAAAATTATTGTTTAAAACCAAATTTATTCTTATTATTATTTTATATTATTACTTAATATTACTTTTGATATACTTAACTTACTTTTATTTTTTTTTATAATTTAATATATAAAATGATAGATAGATATTTAAAGATTTATTTTTTAAAAATTAAGAGTTGAATATATCATTGTTGTAAAATTTATGTTGCTCGTATTTTTCAATTATACTATATTAAAAGAACAATAAAGATGTCTACTTTTGAAAAATAATATTTTTTCGCTAAAATAGAAGGAAATTTATTTAAATGTGTGAATATTAAGAAATTTTTAATAGTATTATTTTACACATTTTAACGTTACTAAAAGCGTATTATTCATTTTATTTAAAACAACAAATGCAATTAATTGAAGACAAAATAAAACAAATAAATTACTCGTTTTAAATTGAAATAAAAACTCTATTCGTTTAAAATTACTTGGTAAAAATACTGAACCAAGAAATTTATGCGAAAGCAGTTTAGAAACAAAACTATAAATTTTATCTTGAAGTTAGTTTAGAGTCGATTTAAAGAACTTTTGAAGAGGTCTCTCAAGGAGAATTCTATGTCATTTTGTATGCAAAGAACAAAGAAGTATTTGTTAAATGT